ATGCTGTTGTGCTTGAGGCTGATACAGGAACATGAATTGTACATTAATAATGGCAGCATCAGAACTGACATTTCTATGACAAATGTTTACACAATTTATACATAACTTAAGCATACCATGAGCATGTTGTTATTTACTTCTTTAATTTCAAGCCAATTAATATTTACCTTATTTCTCTTGGGTTGTTCCTTCAGCTGCTTGTCTGCCTTTTGTAACCCCTTTGGTAAGACTTTGTACCTTCCTGTGTACAAGCGTCTCTCATTTGGTTCATCAGAATCACTTTGGTCCTGAATCTTGTGGATAGCAGTAAGACAATGACTGATTACTATTATTTGATCATTTTATTGTTTGCTTGATGATCTGATGTTCTCACCTCAGTCCTCAGGATGCTGGCAGTGTCATCTTCTGTGTTTGATTCCTGTTCACTGCTACAGGACAATATAAAATGCAAACTTACGAATCTGAAATATTAATGATATTTGAAGCTGAATGAAATCCATCTTACCTATCATTATCTTCCTCATTTTGCGAAGATTGTTGGCGAAATCTTAACATAACTTTGTGGGTCCTGTCTTTGACTGTTAAGAGAGATGTACATATTTATTCATTTAGCAGGCATTTATATCTGAACCCATGATCTTGATACTAACACCATGCCCTTACATTTGATCTACAAAAACTATTTTCCCAGCAATACATTGGGATTTTTCCATTTTTTATAGGGGACTTGAAAGTGAGTGTGTGTGTATAATTACATTTTTGAAAGAAAATATATTTGTATTTATTTGATCATAAAAACCATATTGCTGTGAATATTAGTTTTAATATGTTTTATAATGTAATTTATTCCTTTGATGGCAAAGCTGAATTTTCAGTCTTCAATATGCTAATTTGGGACTCGTTTCTTATTGTCATCAATGTTGAGAATAGTTAAACTGTTTAATCATAATACATTTTTTCTGGATTCTGAAAGAATAGCATTTATTTGAATTCGAAATCTTTTGTAGTACTATAAATGTATACTGTCTCTTTTGATCAATTTAATGCATCCTTGCTGAATAAAATATTCAGTATTAATTCCTTTTAAAAAATCTTACTGACCCCAAAGTTTAGAACGGCAGTGTGATTCTATAGAAAATTTCAGCACTTACCCTCATTTTGGTCCTCTTCATAATATCTGTTAGATGCGTCAATTCTCGCTTGTTCCTGCTTCATATCCCTCTCTATTTCAATTTTCAGCTTCTCCAGGAAATCGCGATCGTCATCACCTATCATTATACTTGAGTTCATTTGAACTTCTTTATTAATATCACAGTCATAATCATCAAGTCTCATGTTGTCCTCATCCATCAGAAGGGTGCTGATATTTTCTCTGATGTGTGAGGGTTCACGGCTGTCTTCCTTGTTGCTTGGGTCTTGTTTGATTGAACTGGACTCTGGAGGATGCAACTCACTGATGCAACCTATTGTGCTAGGTTCCTCTTCACTGCCGTGTGGAAATATCACATGCAAATCAAATTTATGAGCTTGTATGGTGCACTAAAGTATAACACAAAACACTTTCCTTTTGAAGTGTCAAATGTTGAAATTGGTCTTACCTGTAACTATCCTCCTCATACTGAGAGGATTCTGGCTCCAAACAAAATGTCACTTTGTGGCTTCTCCCTGTTGTTGTTGTTGTTGGGTGAGAATTGGCCAAAATTAAAAAATTGTCCTAATAAAAATGTGATAAATTAAGACGTTAAGATGGTTCACAAATGAGCATTTACCCTTGTTTTCCTTGCCTTCGACAGACTCGTAGTATCTGTTAAATGCTTCAATTCTTGCCTTTTCTTTCTCCCAGTCCCTATCGGTCTCCTCCCCATCGTTCTCCAGCTCTTCCAGGTAATTGTCCTCTTCATCACAGATCAACTCTTCTCCATTAATGTCCCAGTCATATTCATCAAGCTTCAGAATGTCCTGGGACCAAAACGTCCCAGGTAACAAAGTGTGGACATTTTCTCCAGTGTCTGAAACTTTTGAATGTTCACTGTTCTGTTCTTTGTTGTTCTGGTCTGTTTTCACTGATGGATGTGACTCACCAACACTTTCAGATGAATCAGTCTCAGAAGAAGCTTCCATTACAGTTCCATGAGATGCTGGAATGCTTGATAAACCTTCTACATTACACATCTCTGGTTTCAAGCTATCTTTGACCACCCCATCCACTAGTTCATGCTCAATACTGTGCCAGTCTGTAGCAAAGTCCTTTGTGAAGGTGTCCTCTTGTTTCTGGAGAGCTGTGTTTTTGTCCTCTGAGACAGTACGTGAAATGAAATCAGGTGTATCTTCTTGGTTTTTGCAGTAGTCGTCACCATCACTGCTGAAATCACTGTCATAGTCAGGCTGCTCATTCATGTAGGATTCATTGGAATTTGATTGGAAATTCTCAGAGATTCCATAATCAGAACTTTCCCCAATGTTTGAAATCTCACGATGATATTCAGCATCTGTTTGGAACAATATGTCATCATCGGATTTCCCAGTTGTTGTCTCCACATACAGATCCTCATTCTTGACATAAGTGAGCATGTCTGCAGGATCCATACATTCATCTTTCTTTTGGACATCATCATCTTCCCTTGAAGTTACAACACTGTAAGGCAGGAGAGGTTCTTCTGGGCCTACAGCCTGCACCTCAGCTTGCTTGGTGTCCATGTGATTGGGTTGTCCACCCTCGGGACCTTCACTGCTGTCCCCACTGTCACTTTGAGACAGATCAGAGGAATACTCTGCTAAACCTTCCTCGTCTCTCTCATGATCCTCATGATCTTCTTCTGTAAACTCTTTTATCTCATCCATAGACTGAACCTCCGCTGATGCTACTGGCCAGTCTTGCAATGTTGACTGTATGGCACTAAAATGATTGAGCTGCTTATCATCTGGTGCATGCTGAAGGACATGCTCCTCAGTGCTGTCAGGCTCCATTCTTTCCTCTTTTAATGTTGAGCTCTCATTTTCAGATTTGTCCACCATCTGGTAGGACAGTAGATGAGATGTGGTCTCCTCCTGAGTCCGTGCGCTCATTGTATCCAGACCATAGCGAGTTCCTTTTGGGAGAACCATTTCCAGCACATTGACATCTTCAGATTGTTCCTTGCTCATTTGATGGATATCTTCATGTATCTCAAATTCATTCTTTCTGCAATCCTCTTCATGGAAGCTTAATTGCTGGTTTTGGGTTTGTGTCTTATTTTCGACTGCATCGTTGTCATCCCGTGAACCACAAAGCGTAGATCCTGCCTTCATGCTTTGTTCATCTAAAGAGAAGTTCCTATTGTTCTCAAAACAGTGCTTAGTTTCCTCTTCCCTATTCGTCCACTCTAAATCTATGTCAGAATCAGATCCACTGGATTCTCCGTGACTGTCGTCCTCCTCCATGTCTGGCTCATTTTGAAGCACATTAATGCTGTGTGCGGTTACTGCATCATCATCAAAGTTTAGATGCTCAAAGTTTGCCTCTGTTTCTATTAAAAAAAGGAGCACAAACATCAGTACTAATTACACTGTAAGAAAAAAAGCAGTAGAAAAACAGATCACGTCCTGGCAGAAAATACCAGTACATTTTCTGTTAAGTTTACATACATATTCTTCAACTTTAAACACATCTCATCAATGCGCAATTCAAAATATGGGATCATATGAGATGATATGCGCAAATGTACATTAAACACAAAGTGTTATACAGAAATCTTACCTTTGAATGCATCGTTCAGAATATCAGCAATGTTTTGATCCATCTTGTTTTTGACACAGCAGGAGGTGTAAAGTGTTTAATTTCATCCCATACAGACAAAATCAGATTCAAACATGACAGACACTCTGAATGTTTTACCACTTGACAAAATGGTAAAGAGTGTGTGTTGCGTACCGCTTTGTGTCATAGCTGCTTCCTGTTCAAACAGGGTCATCATGACAACAAGAACATCAACACAGAATTTAAGTTACTAAACAAAAAACAGTCACATGAACATGCAATTTAAATCAACATTGTTCAAATATCAAAAGTTAACATCAAATATGTCAAGTTATATTTGCTTGATTACTATTATTTTCGTCTTACTTTTATGTGTGTGTGTGTGTGTGTGTGTGTGTGTGTGTGTATGAGTGTGTTAGTGCAGCAGGAACACAGCCTTGTATGACATTTTGTAGGTTGTGGTTTGAGAAGCACAACCACACCACACATCTCTAAATTTATGCATCCGCCACATGAGTTACACAGTAATTTTATTCAAAACGCTGCTGTGACTTTCCATCAGATAATGTAAAAAGTTTTTAAAATGAACAAGATGCTCGGTATCCATTCTGAGAGGTTTCTTTTTTAGTGAGCCACTGTAGTGCTGCGTGTTTTAGTCTATTTTAAAGTGTGAATTATTTAGTGACATTACAGAATGAAAGAACACAAGAGCATAGCTTCTACTCCTCTTGATCAAAACATGCAACATGACAAATCATGACCCTTTCATGTGAATATATGACAGTTTTGTGGCTTTTAGTCCAATTGTATAATATTTTTATAGAATTTCAGGTATAATGGCGAGACTGGCAATATGAGGACATTGTGTTTATTATGTAATCTCGACTATTAGCGACTTCAATACAGGACACTATAGCAGAGCACCAAGCCACCATAAATCCAACATTTATTTAAAAATTAATTTTTGTATATAATATTAATGAATGATATAAGAAATGGCTTAAATAGTGTAGTAAACAACTTGTTTTTCTTGAAACGGCATAAAATATAAGATAAAAGCTTTTATTTTCCATTATCTGTTCACATTTTCTATCATTTCAGAGCCTCTAAACATCATCTACAGGTGCATCTCAATAAATTAGAATGTCGCGAGTTTCACAATTTGAGTTGAATTACTGAAATGAACTTTTCCACGACATTCTAATTTATTGAGATACACCTGTATGTTTTCAGCCACTGGTGTTTTCTTGCATGACAACATTTACACAGTAAATGTGTGTAATAATTGTACACGCTGCACATGTAGTATTGGACATTGAACCAGTAAATTATCACAGTATCAGGCAAATAATTATATACTATTAGAATTGATACTTTGTAGGTCATATTCGCAGATATTTTTCATTTCACAGTTCATGGCGCAGGAGGTAGCGATGGTTTGCTTTCAAATCCACCTCTACAGGATAGTGGTCACTGACTTCCAAAGCCTAGGTGCAAAAAAAAAAGAAAGAAATGTCAAACATTAATGTGTTTTTATAACCTTAAACCGCATAAACACATTTCATTACACCAAATACACAAAATAATGTTCTTTTTAGCAACATCATATGACCCGTTTAATACATTTTACACAGTTTTATGAATGAACTCTGTTTTGCAATACTGTTTACCTCTTCCTCAGATAGATTGAATTCTTCTTTGAAGTTGAATGGTTGAGCAGATTCCGGAACTATTCCAGAAATTAGTTCTTTGCCATGAATAATAATCCTAAAGCGGGTTTTCACAAAGATTTTACTATTAGACTATCTAACATAGACTGGTAAGCCATTGTAAAATTGTAGTTTAGACTGAGAATGCTATAGAGTGCTGCAGGAATGAGTCCTAAAACCTGGAAACAAGCAACTTTACTAGTCTACTTTTAAAGCCTCTTTGTGTTTACAATCACACTCTTGCAAACCATTCTCACGCAAACTTGTAGATGGTGGTGGTGTTGTTTGTTTATAGCCTAACTTTAGCTTTTTACTTCTGGTGACTGTATTTTTCTGTGATCAAAAAAAAATTTTTTCCCCCTTCAAGTCATAGAGCTTGTTTTCTGGAATAATCCAAAAGTCAGTACAAAAATCGTAGGGAACTGGTGTAATGGTGACCTCTGGGTTGGCCTTCAAAATTAAGTCATCCTTGTAGCACTCTATTGTTCCTGTGGTTACTGTGTTGGTTTGCTAAGAAAGTAAGACCAGACCTGTCATAAGCGCAGCGTGTTTTTTCACGCACTGTAGTGTCTTGTTCATCTCTAATCAGCCAGTGAAACTTTGGGTCACTCCTGAGACGCACGTTTTTCAGTCCTTTATTGGTAACATAGCTGCAAGCTGCATTTAAGTCCCCCAGAAACATCACATTCTAGATAAGAAAGGTAAAAAAAAAGAAATTATATACAATCTAGGAATGAATATACAATCTATCATTCTATCTAATGAGTTCTGTGTACCTCAGTTTTCCATTTCTTCCTGATTGTTTGGAAGACCTCATACAGTGCCTCCATTTCTTTCATTGCACTCTTAGGACAGGTGTGCTGACCAATAAGGACAAAGTTCTTCACCACTGTAAGATAATGCAACCAGTCAGATTCAGTATGAATGTGTCTGAGAAAATGATTGTGCTATAATGTGCTATTTTATTTGGTGGTACTAGAAATGCTCTGTGGAACGTTTATGACGTACAGGTTGTGGGAGAACGGATCCATATGATGAACGGCTCTCTGGCGAATACTGTGCTCTCGTTGAACTCTGGGTGCTGGTATTGCTCTTGCACCTGTAGCATGTCTTTTCTGTGAACACAGAAGTTTATCATCATCACTCCTAATGTTTGCAAAATTCAGGTATGTTCACAGACGATCATACGCATTATAAAATTTCATTACCTGTAAATGTACACATACTGCTCTTTATATGTTTTCTTCCCCATTCTTTTACTCTCTAAATGTGTGTAAATGTGAGATTTGTCAAATCTGGAGGAAGGAAAATGAAAACATTATTATATTATACATGAATTCAGAGTCACGTGTGTCCATAAAATGCTGTGAATATACCTGTTCAGGTTCATCAACAGCGCAGATACAGCTTCACCTCTAGAATCTCGAACTTCCTGAATCAAACTCAGGTCACAGCGAGAAATTATCTACAAGTTAAAAAAAATGTTTATAAGACATTTATAGATAGAGAGATGCATTTAATTTTGTATTCAGATTCTCAAATATTCTTTGTATCTTTGTTAAAATAAGCCATTTTGTTCATTGTATTCTTAGGACAGGTATGCTAATCAGTGAGGACATTTCATTTTTAGTCATATTCTCAAGTAATCTATACCTTTATTAAAATCTCCATAACTCTCTTATTGCTGGCCTTTGCTTCTCCATAGCTCTGGATGTTGAAGGCACAGATCTTCAGTGAAATTACAGAAGTCCAAAAACATAATCCAGCAAAACATACCAAAAGAGACGACCTCATTTATCAGGACACCTAGAAATACACAAAGTTTCATTAATCTAACAAAACAACACCACTTATTTGTCTTTTTGGATAGTGTAGTAGTATATAGT